GCACACAGCGGGAATAATAAAATCACCAACACTATATCTTAGCTGAATCGTCAGAAACTCCCAAGGATTCTTTACTTCCAGTTTTTCCACTGATTTCCGAGTTTCTGTTTTATATCATTGTAAACTGAGTAAATGTGGGTTTGGGGCTGTTGTTCAGAACAAAACAAGCAAGTGGTGATCTCACATTGAGCTGTGGAAAAGTATGATGGAAATTTCATCTTCATTTTTTTGACAATGATTAATTATGAAACTACAGTGGATTTTAACAGGTGTTGTTCAGGTTTTTCTTTATTTTATTCACCTCAATGAGGGTGGGCTGAATGACAGAAACAGCTCTCTGTGTAATACATAAAGGATCATACAGTTGAGTCAATATCTCTTTAAAACAGTTTCAGCAAAAACTCAATTAGAGCTTTCATGAAGGTTTGATTTACTGCAGGACTGCTGGATTAGATTGCATTTGTTTTGGCAACTGAGTGTAAGATCATAAGGTGTTATGTATGTAAAATTATTAAATGAAAAATATTTTGTAACTTTAGCTCTCAAATTAATGTAGTACATAAAAAAATACATCTAAGAACCATTTTAATGTTGTGGCTGGGCCAAATGGAGCTTAATATGTTATTATATTAGTAAAGGCTTTTTGTTATTATTAGCAAAACCTATTTACTACTTACATATATATTATTAGGGCTGCAGCTAACAACTATGTAGTCATATCAATTCATCTTCTGATTACATTTTTCAATTAGCCTAATTGTTTTGTTTAAAATGACCTTAATCATTTTTTTTGTTACAATTTTGACATCTTCAGGTCTCTTGTTTTTCTTGCTAGAAACTACAAATACTTGACAAAAAAGACAGATGATTATTTGATTATCAGGAGTTTAGTAAAGTTGTAGTATGAAGTAGGAGAAAATGAAAATACTCGATTAAAGAATAAGTACTTGAAACTGCACGTGTATACAGCACTTGAATAAATGTACCACTGCTCCATACAAAATATTTCCCTCATCAGTCTGTTGCTTCTAATGTTGCCCGGTCTGTTGATGTAAATGTGCCTCCATTCTTCATGCTGAGTCATTTACTGTATATGAAACCATGGTTAACACTATTAAGTATTTCGAGTGCTTGTGTGTTACTTCCGCTCCCTGATCTACTGTATTTGCGCAACACTCTTGTGATGTTTCCTATTTTCTGTCTTTGCTTGTAGATGCAGACTATAAAATGTGTGGTGGTAGGAGACGGTGCAGTAGGAAAGACCTGCTTACTGATCTCCTACACAACCAACAAGTTCCCCTCAGAATATGTGCCTACGGTAAGAACAATCAATACACACTGAGTCATGTTAAAAAAAAAAAAAGTGCTGTGCGTTTCCTCATGGTTGAAATACGGTGTAATCAGATTTGCCAAATAATTTTTCTTTTTTTGTGTGCTCACAGGTTTTTGACAATTATGCAGTGACAGTGATGATCGGGGGAGAGCCCTATACACTCGGCCTTTTTGACACAGCGGGTAACTCGAATGTCTTTGGAAATCTCTCGTTTTCTCTCTCATTTCTGTCATTCTGAAACTGATAGAAAAACTTTCCTGCTCTTCTGGTTTTGTGATTGTTGCTCTCAGGTCAGGAGGATTATGACAGGCTGCGTCCTCTCAGCTATCCACAGACAGATGTGTTCCTTGTATGTTTCTCTGTCGTCTCCCCCTCATCTTTTGAAAACGTCAAAGAGAAGGTCAGTTTTTTTTAATCATGTTTTTTCACTGATTGGGCTGAAGCTGGAGCAGATATGATACTGTACTGATACCTAAAAGATCATTTTATCACCTGTCACACTGAGAAATAGATAGATAATAAAATCCTTTAATAAACAAGCCAAAGTTTTCAAATTCAATATTTTTGAAACAGAAATAATAGTAAAACCATATAAAATTGGCAGAATTGTGTAAATCAGGACTTATCTGATCAAAGAGTAAGTAAACAACATTACAAATCTGACCAGACATTTAATGCCAGCCATATTTCGTTTAACAACAAAGAATATTAAGGATTGATACCCAGTCCTAGACATGACCGGGAAAGAAGAAAATATGAATTTAATGTTTTTGTTGTTTTTCTTTTTCAGTGGGTTCCTGAGATTTCTCACCACTGCCCACGCACACCCTTCCTGTTAGTGGGCACACAGGTGGACCTGCGGGAAGACAGCAACACGATCGAGAAGCTGGCGAAGAACAAACAGCGCCCCCTATACCCTGAGAGCGGGGAGAAGCTGGCGCGTGAGCTCAAGGCTGTAAAATACGTGGAGTGCTCTGCTCTGACACAGGTGTGGGACAAGTTTTCACCACACTTTTAAAGTGAAAGCAGCATATTTGGTAAAACGGGCATTAATGACAGCAAAAAAATTTCTCTCTAACTCTTGTTTTCTCTCTTCTTCTTCTACGACCAGCGAGGGCTTAAGAATGTGTTTGACGAGGCCATCCTGGCAGCCTTGGAGCCTCCAGAGACCAAAACCAAGAGAAAGTGCGTCCTGCTATAGATGAACAACGACAAAGAGAGACGTAATGGTGTAAGAAAATAGGTGGGGTGAATCAAAACATCAGAAAGATCAATGGCCAATATGAAAAAAGGACAAAACAAAAGGGGAAGGGAGGTACAATGCCATTGAGACTTATTCTAATACACGTGTACACTGATTGTGCCTTCAAAATAAACTTTGAAAGAGGCTGAGGCAGCAAAACTTCAGCATGCAGTAAATGCAGTAAGTGTCACCTAACTCCTTTTCTGAAAGCTTTTAAAAATTGCAGTGTTCTCTACAAATGTTCAGGTGGGGCGGGCCCCCCCTGCCTGTCACTGTTGCTCCATTTAAAGAAAAAAAAAAAAAAAAAGAAGAAGAAGAAATATTCATTTATATAGTTGCCTTTGGCCTCCTCTGTGTTTTGCTTCTTGCAATCAATCGGGGCTTTTAAACCCAATGTGGGGAAATATAAACAGGGAAACACTTTAGTTACATTTAACATTAAGTTTTTAGAGAACTTTGTTTTGTACATTTAAAGGGGCAACTTAATGTTAAGTGGTACTTTATTTGCTTTCTTTTCTGACCCTGATGAAAGCACAAGAGATTTATTATCACTCCAGACAAAGGTAGCTGTTTGAAATGATTTTCTTCCAACTCCCATTGACATTTGCGGGAGGCCAAGTGCATTTTCACCAATTTCCCTTCTCAAGGTGACTTATGAATTTCTATTTTATTCTCCTTTTGTGTATATTGTATTAATTCTGTGACTCTGTTTTGGGAAATTTAGTTATTCATTTTGAAACTTGACTTTTTATTTTATCCAGATTTTTTTTTTTTTTTCATCGCTAGACTACCAACTTTGAGTGATTGATAATATAACAAATTAAGTTGTAATATTTTCAATAGATCTTAATCTCGATAGAGATTGAGATGATAACCTTTGCTAGTAGATTTCTGGGTGTTTGTAATCACAGGATATTTTTAATAAAAATGGTTTAATGACATTGGAAGTAGCCATTGTTATGTATGTTCGAGTGAGAATGCCACCTGCACAACAAATCATAAGAGAGATCATTTTAGCTGTTGATGGTCCGATGAACGACTAGTTATGTTTATGTCAGTGTTTTTGACTTGAACGTTCTGTGTATTCTTGATGTGCTGAATACATTCCCTTTTCATAAAGGAAAACCAATCTTTTATATTTTGAAACCTTCATTCTTCACATCAACAAGCTGTCTACTTCTCTGCCTTTTGGCAGTGCATTGCAAGGTGACTCAGTCCGTGTTTCATGGCTTGCATGCACTATACACTCACTGTATGGCTTTTTGCACATGGCAGGAGTGTATATGATATAAGGCTTGGATAACGGTTCCCCAGTGATACACATTAACATCCTTGTGGGTCTATGGAGAGAAGGGTATTATGGGTAACCACTGATTGCAGGGGCACATCCCCAAATCTCAACAATGTGTTGTGCAGATCTGGGTGTCAATCACACTGTCTAATACAATTCCTATCGGAAAGGGGGTTGAAACAGAAAGGGGGAAAAAAAAACAATGTAAAAATTTGTATAAATATAGCAGAATCAGCCTCTTAAAATGCCTTCTGGAAATGTATTTTCCAGCCTTAAAACAGAGACCCGCTCTTTAAAACATTGCTCCTAGTGCCTCTAGTGGTCAAAAACTTCACAGGGTACCTTTATCTTTGCAGCTAACTCATGCGCCTTAGTCGAGAATTTCAAGCGAAACATCTTGAACATGTCTGGCTAATAAGAAACTCAAGAAACATCTGTTGGATAAAACTACTGTATTTATTAGATTTCTTGATCAAACCTAAAAAGACTGCTTGTGCAGGGGCACAGAAGAGATGACAGTGAGGGACAAAACACAAGACAGACACTGGTGTAAGTAGAAGTTATTCTTGCTGTTTGAGATGTCACTGCTGGAGGCTGAAGTGAAGATACGCAAATAAATAAACCAGAATAGAGAAGAAAACATAAATAGAGTAAATCTTTCAACGACCTGCTAGTCTATCATACAATGCAAATAGTTTGCATCAAACAAAAATAGTGCTGCAATGTTTTCTGTGTTAGTTCTGGTTAAGTTCAGCTTCAAAAGCTTTGTCAGTTCAATGTGAGAGTAGCTGTTCAATGCAAGTATGTTTGTGTTCATGTGTGCATGCGTAAGGCACAAACCACTTGTCCGTGTTGAATAAGGTCAAGAAAGGTGGAAGTGATTTTCGTTTGTGGCTTACTCGCTGCTGATGCTTTGTCATCGTTCTTTGTTTTTGTATGTGCTCTAACTTTGCAGTTTTTACAACAGGATTAACTCTAGCTTCGCTGCTCCGAGATGAGAGTTAGTTAAACCTACTTTTGGCCAACATGTACGATAGTTTGGTGTCTGTGTTGTCCTTATTCCGTCTTTGTGTTCCAAAGTGTCTGTCTGGTGGTTTGTTCAGGTCAGTTAGTTTGGTCTTGTTTGGGCCGTCTTACACTCTGCAGGTGTGAATAGTGACTGTGTTCTTGCACTGCTGGCAGCGGACTGAGCAGCACCAGGAGAACTTGCAGGAGCAGCGTTGCACCACCTCAGCCCGTCCCGCTCTGTACCCTGGCCCGCAGCACACCAGCTCACAGCCGTCTGGTGCCAGCCGAGAAGTTCCTGGAGTGTGTTTTAGAAAAGAGGAGCATCACTTTCTGTAATTGATTTGATTTGTAAGTTTGGTTATTTTCCTCTGAGATACATCCTGCCGTCAATCTTACCGTTACATCTCCTACCAGCAGTCCCAGGGATACCGTTGTCAGGGTCGAGATGGCAGAAATCTGGAGAGGGCGCAAGGTACACAAGGTCTCTGGCAGCAGGGGGTTTGACCTGGGGGTCACGGGGGAGCAGGGCTGTCCTGGATCCTATGCGAGTCAGGCGGACCTAAGAGAAGGATGATGTTGAAGGACAGATTGTGGATATTTTCAAAGTTTCAGATAAAGTATCTGCATCGATGACTTCTTCACGTGTTCGTCTGCTAAGCTAAGGAATATGAAACAAGCAGAAGGTGTAGTCTGATACCTCTGTGGCTCCATCAAAGCGTTCCTTGAGCACAACGCCGACGCGCCTGAATGGAGGCATGACCTTCCAGCAAGTCCTCAACTCACAAGAGCCAGAGACACCATGACACTTACACTCCACCTGCATGTTGTGAAGGATGGCCTGAGGATGACAGGATAGTGAATATGAGTGGAGCAGATTGTCACTACATTCTCACAGATTTTAGAGCTGGAAATGAACAACAGTTTGTGAAAAAGTGCTGCCACCAACCTTTCGACCAGCCTCGTTGTTATGGAGATTCATAAGCGGTCGTCCTGCTGACAGCCCCTTGGCTCGTTCTGGTTCATCCACAAATGTCTGGGAGAAAGCCACACCATAGGACAGGTTGTCACTGCACCCAGACCACTGGAAACCTGTGGTGGGACAGAAAAACAGTAGTGTGGAAAACTGGAGCCTTGGAACTATTTCACGTGACGTTTTCAAGTTGAAAGTGGATGACTGGTAAATGGAAAATCCACATTGGATCACATAAAGCAGAAGCAACGCTACACTGCTCTCTGTGGTTTCAGTCTTTCATAGATATTGCCACAATCCAGTTGGTAATGTTGTTTTGTCTGAGACAGCTGATGGTGATGTCACTCACCGGAGCGTGGACTTAAATGTTACATAGGTAAGTTTCAACCAGCAGAAAACAGTGAGGCAGTAGTTTTATGCTCTGTCGGTCTGTCGGTCCGTGTGACTCAGTGTGGATTTACCCGTTCCATTTTCATGCAACAGAATCCAAGCTCACCCTCGGGGCTGACCCCCCTGACCTTCCTGTCACAGCCACACCTCTCCAGCTCCCCGCGGGTGCAGGCTCGGGTCACCGCCACTGCCACAGCTGCGGAGGACAAAGCATGCACAAAGGCCGCCTCACGAGTGCCTGAATTTAAAATAGAGCACAGGATGCAGAAATCCTGATTCTGAAGTGCGTGTGAGAGTCGCTCAATGTTTAGATTTTTCAGGAGGTAATTCTGCATGACATAAGTTCGGCAGCGAGCATACCTTGGTTCATGACTCTGCCAAATACATTGATCCCACGTGGGGTGGTGGAACAGTTCCAACGGCGATTCCTGAACTGGTGCTGGCACTGCGTTACACAGTGACATGCAAAACAGACAAAAAGGGGGCTCTTAACAGCTCCACTGCACCGATTGTAACAACAACATGTATATGAGACAAAAAATAATCACATAATGATGATGCGTGCAGGTCATGACCCCTGAGACTATTTGCTCTCTGACCATACCTCTTCTATGACCATCTCTGCCGCTTTGCGTACGGACTCCATGACCTCCCCCCGTGCCCTGCACACCCCCACCTGCCCTGGGGTCAGCCCCCTCAGCCGTGCACATGGGGCAGCACCGGACACAGGCCTGGAGCGAGGCAGCCTCGCCAGGGAGCTGGGGCAGAAAAATGGGGAAAGGTATAGTGACTCACAGCAGATTTGGAGGGCAAAAAAAGGAAGATGTATAATTAAGTAGAGGGAGGGGGGAGAAAGAAGAGGAAGAGCAGAGAGGGGACAAAAAGGATGAAGAGGTAACGAGTTTTAGAGAGGACAGAAACAAGGGCAGGACCGGGCGAAGAAGACAGAGAAGGCACAGTGAAGGCAAAGAGAAAGAAAAGAGAAAAGGTCACCAGGACTGAGACAAAGAAAGAGAGGGGAGCAACTGAAAGAGATTTAGAGACATGTCACCATCTTTTAAAAGTTATAGCATGACAAACAAACTCCCTCTTTCTCTTCCTCCCTCGCACGCTAGACTTACAGCCAGTTGGTTGCCATGGTGGGGTGGGTTGCCCATAGCAACAGGAGGAGGAGTGGTGCCGTGAGATTGACAGTGGAGACAGTTGGCATCAGACTGTCTGTCTGTCTGTCCGTCTCCGTGCGTCAGGCTGGGTCTTTGGACAGCACGCTGCCCGTCTCCACAGTTGAAGTGATCTGTCCGTCTGTGTGTCTGGTGTTGGTTTATGTTTCTGGTCCAGGGTCTGGGGATGATCCCCTCATATCTGTTGAAATGACAAATTAACAGATTAGTGACAAATCCACTGCTGAATTTGTTAATCATCCAATTCTATAAGACATTTTTAATAATCTTCAGTTAAACAATTCCTTATTAATATATCAGTGTTTCAGTTTATGTGAGTTGCTGTGCAGCTTTAAAAGTTGCAATATGAGACAAAACATTTTCCAAGACTCTACAGGCTGTTTATCATTCAGTTTTGGTATACAACCAAAAGTTTTTTCTCCTGCAATTCCCAGTCAAAATGTCTTTCCAGTTTGCCACAGTAACACTGATTCTTACCAGTTCATAGTCCTGTGATATCCAGTTATTCTTCCCTTTTGTTTGACCAAATTTTGTCCAAATTTTAGTCAGCAAAGTCGTTCATCAGTTTCTTCTGTCAGTGACGGCAAAAGCATGCTCACAAGAGGGTTTTACGAACTACAAGTAAAACTCATCCTTTTATAATTCAAAAATTAATCCTCATCTCCAATTTAATTGGACAAATTTAAAAAAAAATCTACCCCCAGAAACAAATCTTAAAATCCAGAAGTGCTAATAAAAGCCTAATAACATTGTGTCCGCAGGTACTTGGTTCAGTCCCAGGAAAACAAATGCGTCCATTCCAGGTTGAAACAGCAAGAATGTGTGAGAGCAAGGAGATGGGAGTGATGGGTTATAAAGGAGGTAGAGAGTGAGGGTGGGAGAGAGAGGACAGGCGTGATCCTGGGTGTGGAGTGATGCCGAGGGAGGAGGAGGCTTTGAAAAAGTATAATAGTTGTACTACGTAAGTATTTAGAGTGCATGTATGCCCTATGTGTTTGTTTAGCATGAGACCTAAAATCTGAGCCTGTGCTGGAGACACAGGGCTGCAGTCTTCAAAATGATTATCACAAATGCATTAATGTGTCCCATTATTTCCTCGTGTGTGTATGCATGCTTATGTGTATCTTCTGGAGTGCTTTAGCTACAGAGAAACTCGACACAGAGAGCACAAATTCCAGCCTTTTGTTCCTTTTACTGAAAGTATTGTATATTGAGTATTGATCCATGAGATGTCCTGCAAGATGCTCACATCAAAAACAATGACAAAGCATTTCTGTTTCCACTTATAAGCATATGCATGTGAGAAAGTGTCTTACCTAATGTTTAATTTTCCCAAACTTTGTTGCTCATTTTACGAGTCCCCCCCTCCCCTTCCACTATCTCCCCTGCATTTGCCCTCTCGTTCTCCCTCTCTCCCACTCCCCATATTGTCTTAGAAGAAGGGGTGACATTTAGACAAGGGGAAGAAAACACACTGCCGACAAATATTGGAACTGAGGCAAATAAATCACGAGATAGGAGGGAAAGCAGGGCACAAGGAAGAGAGCGGATGGGTGTTACACCGGGGTTAGGAAAAAGTAGCGAAGAATAACAAAGCAAGTTTGTGAAACATAAATTTGAGGGGAAAAAAATGGAATGACTTTATGTGTGTGGATTTAATGTTTGAGAAAAGACCCTAAAATACTATTTACTTATTCATTTATGCTGTAGTGTAACATTGAGGAACAGACAGCATAACATAAACTATACTGCATGATTTTTTTATTCACTGCAAATCCCTTGCACAGTATGAGAATAATTATTCGGTTTAAGTTTACTTTTTAACAGTGTACTTGGTAGTTTTCCCTCCTTTAGTCTTGTACAGCCAGTAATGTAATGTCATAGCCCTTGCATAAAAGGTAAGCAAACAAACTGTTATTCCAGCTTTCTTGTCCACTAATATAGTTAAAGAATTTCTATAATTTAAAACGGTTAAATATGTGATTTAAATGTTGCTTATACACATAATTGCACATTAATTCCACGACAGTCTAGGAAGAAGTTATCTGGCTATGTGCTACTGTTTGGTAGCTACTTTGCTAAACTAGGTTAGTTAGCTTTTAGCAAGATAGTTAATCTGGTGTTATGTTTTTTTTCTACATTATGATTATATTGAGCTTGTGCCTTATTCATGGAGTTTAACAAATTCAGTTACTAAGATGCTGAAGTATCAAAATACATTTTTCAATTACAGGTGATAAAAAGTGGGAACATTAGCTTTAGCTAAGCTGTAGCTATATTGCCAGCAGGCTTTAACTAGCTTTTGCCTTCTGCAGCTTACATGTTATTTTGTTTCAAAAACTGCACATTTCTATACAACGTTATGATTTTTTACTAGATGATTCTGATGCTAATTCAATTTTGAACAAATTTTAGTTACTGGATTTTGGCTTTGTTACTTTTATGATGTTTTTATCCATGGTTATTTTATGGGTATATCTTGTATCCTTTGTAATTTGCATCGGTTGATTAGGATGGGACCACTGTAATTTCCATAATTTTATGGATATATTGAACCTTGAAGACTTTTTATTTTAAATCTCAAAGGTCATCAAAGTGAAAAAAAGATTGTGCTTCAGTCTTGTCACACCTGATGAGACAAACTTATTTATTGCTCAGTCCCAGTCCAGGATTTGGTGGCCAATTTACCTGAACCCTTTGACACCCAGTTCCTCAGTAAATGGTCACCCCATCCCCACACCCTCTCTCTCTCTCTCTCTCTCTCTCTATCTCTCTCTCTCTCTCTCTCTCTCTCTCTCACACTCACACAAACACACACACACACTCACACACTCTTTCCTCTGTCTATATCTGTAAAGACAGGTTCCTTCTAGGCCCCCTTCCCTCCTTTTTTGTCCTCCTCATGTCGTATTCCTCCTTTGTGTCCCCTGTTTCTCCAAGTGACGTCTTCCGCTGTCTCCCACAGCAACGCCATGGTGATGAGCTGGCCACTGTCATGTCCGGCGCCTCTGTTATGCTCATCGCTTCACCCCTCTCTCGTAAATAACTTGCCCTCTTTTTTTTTTTATCTTTATCTTTCCCCCATTTTGTGGACATTTTATCATGCTGAAATGGTCTGGTACTGATTGACTGTAGCCAGGTTGCAGAGCCCAAAGAGATGCTTGTTAAAGCGTCAGCATGACATATACATAGAGATGACTTGCATTCCCTCACTTATAGTGGGGGGTGGAAGCAGACTTTGAGAGACTGTGAGGTGGGGCAACTGAACTGGTCTTACTTTGTCCACTGATGCTGACCATGGGATGTAGGATTGGCCTCATTCAAAGATGATTGCCTCAGGGTAACTCTGGACTTTGTGAACACATCCCCCCCAAGGTCATTATGAGATAGAAGTGTGACCCACCACCTTTCTCCTTCATTTGCTTTGGTACTTCTCTGCACTTGAGGGCTACCTGTCTCAGCAGTCTGAGTGCGGATGGAATAATCATATCAGGCAGAAACATGACTGCCGTGCATGAGCACGCTCACATTGCTCAGGCATCTCTGCCAACAAAGAGCCGAATGCACTGCTGTGTATGAATGTGTGCGGAGCGTGTGCATGAATATTATGGGATGGCGGGCGGTGGTGTTGTCAGGCAGGGAAGTGGGGGCGGCAGAGTGGGCGGTGAGCTGTGTGCACATGGGGGGAGGGGGCAGAGGGAATGGACGACCCATGAATATTATGGAGTGATGGTGGTGCTGTGGGGTGGAGGGGGGTGGCATGGGAGGTGTATAGTGTGTGTGAGGTGGAAAGATAGCTGTGCATATGGGATAGAAGGAGAAGGAGGAGGTGTTGGTGACGGCGTTGCACGTGAGCTCATGTGTACGCGCATACATGCATGTGTAAGGGGCATTCAAGCGATAGTAACAGACAACGGCCAGACATAGGCCTTTGTTGCTATGCGATCTGCATGTACCGTACTGTGGGGAATATTGCAGAGTGGCCGTTGGAGTGGAGGAAGCAGTGGAAGGCCTCTGCACTCCCATTTTGACTGTTCCTGCCCTATTCATGCAGAATCCAATCTCTGGTGGAATCTTTGTTTCTATGAACATGAAAAGAGCAAAATGAATACAGTTTATGTATGAAACACTCTTTTTCACGAACCATAAAGCCACTTCTGGCCTTCAGAGAGCAAAGCACAGACACACAAGGCAGAAGGTTTGCTCTGCAGAGGAAGTTAATGATTACAACCATGTTTAACAGTGAAGAAATTAGAAATATCATCCCCACTGCACACTGTTTTATCATGTAAAATTAAAGTAAAATGAATAGTAATCCATGCTCATCAATCTCACTTACGCCTTAACAAGCAGCAGCCCACCACTGGGCCAGTCAGTCACAACAAACTCATAATGTGCAGCCAAACATTGTTCAAACAAGCTGAACTTTATTTTAAATTCTAGTAGAGATCCCCAGGTTTCTTTGCATACCAAACATGCCATGCTGAATTTTTGGATAAATGTTCATATAATTAAGCAAAAGGCATCTAAACTGATAAAGTGGTACAGCTGCTCAGTATAAACATCATGAAGCTTCAATAAAGAGCTGAATGATATGTAAATAATAATAAAAAACATTTCTGTAAGTTTGTGGGTCACATTATTGTTCATAACCAAATCAGACTCAGTGTGAAGAAGTGCAATTCAGAGAGCTGGAAATGAGCGAGTGTCCTTCCCAGTGCATCAGTAAGTATGTTTGTAGAATGATGTAGAAACATTTCAAATAGGACTTGTTGCACATTCAAGTGCTTTTGCTTTTTTCAGAGTTTTAGATACAATATAAAGCCTGCAGCACCAGAACCAAGTGGAGAAGTATGCAGTTGCAGCTGGCATGAGTTGGATATTTTTAATGAACTTCTAGTATCATTGAAAAAGCCATTTTATCACGTGGTCATGGTTACTACTTTAATAGGTCTCATGTGCAGCAGCTCATGTATTGTTTACTGTTTTTCAAACAGAACTTGAAGGCTGCAATTTGTGTGTTTTCATG